GCAGTAGGGTACTTCAATTTGTAAAAATGAAATTGTACTATATGTCCATCAAAACAACAGTATAATTCAAGTATAAAACAACAAATTCAAATTTCTTGTATCGTCACAGCCACTTTTCTCTGTAGGATGAATAAGTCATCTGAAAATCACAGCGACTGGACTCCCGAGGGAAGGCCACACAAGTGCCCTCATGAATCAACTGGCATGACAGCTGGCACTGAAGCCCCTGACCTTGCCGTCTGTGTGCCCCAACACCCACGCAGACCTTGTTGGCTAAATCCAACCCCATGCCACTTCCTGTGTGCCACCCCTCCCCTTCTCAAAACATTCCAGAGGACACTATCTATCTCCTCGTCTCTGTCTGTCCACGCTCCGGGTTTCCTCCTCTATCATTAGTGCGTCTGCAGCGACGTCGTGGCAGGGTGCCAAAGTATGACATACATCTAATAAGGCACATTAAAATCAACAGAAACACTAGGAAAATATACTTTGCAGCCCTCGCCAGTTTATAAATAGACATCCACCATGCTAGATGTTCTGCAGTGGATTTGTTAATGAAAATTTAGGCTATTATTCTTCATTGAGGATTGGTGGTTTATAAATGCAGATAATATTTCTGGTCTGTTTGTAAAGGGATGGGTGTAGTCCTGATTGTTAAGTGATGATACACATTGCTACTGATGAACATATAAGGTCAAAGACACTTATTTTTATCCTGTCTTGTTGTCACAACCGTGCTGGTTAGTTAGTAAAGATTAAGACAAACAATGATGACAGAGCTTAAACAGACAAATTGCTCAGACCAAACAACTTCAGTAAATGACCGTCTTGGATGAAGTGATAAAGTGGATGACGCTACTGTAGCAACCTAACTTAATCATCATCCTCACAAAGATGAAAAACAACTACAGCAACAAAGCTCTGCTCTGCATCTCAACTACATTCACTTGATCTGTGATTACAGACGTCTCATCTGCTCTCTTCAAACCAAAAGCATGAGAACTGTCCCAGATCTTAATTGAATAATCACTACTGAGGTATTCGCCGTAGGAAATGACAGCCCAAACGAAAGGGAAAAACCCTGGAGCCGGAAAAAACATTTTCCGGCAAAGTTCCCTATAATATCTGGGTGCATATAGAGTCTGAGAATAGACAGCTTTCTTAGCTTCGCCTGACAACTCTCCAGTACATGCAGCAGGATGTCAGCTTCTATTGACCCGACACAGAGATGAAGGTTTATTATAAACATGTTGCAAAAAAGGGTATTTGTTTACATATTTGTTTCATTAATATACAACAGCATTATATTTCTACAGCATTGCTATTTAATCATAGATTAAAATCAGACATTTTACATGAAACTGTATAAATACAAACATTACTCAGCGTTATTATGTAAAGGAATAAATTAGCCACGACCTTAAATCTCCGCTCCCGCTATCAAAAGCATAATCTTTCCTTGACAACTAACACTGACTCACTGTGATAACCTGTGCATGAGTCAGTCAGTAATACTGGCGTCTCACACAACTTCCTTCAAACCAGCTCCCCATCAGCATCAAAGAATGACAAAGCATTAACTGTGGGAATTAAAGTAGCAATCTTTCATCACACTTAACTTGGCCCACACCACACACCACTCAGCCAGCATAAAATTGCAACTCAGACGGGACCTGTCCCGCTCTTAGTCATCTGGGATTTAAAGGGTGAGGAGAGACATCATGACATGTTGTGTTTGGATGTCTTAATGTGATCACATCAAAGAGCAGAATTACAAGCAGCCAAGTCAGAAAAACTGTACAAATCCACAATATCTCTTAATTAATAAAATGAACTACAGAAGTGTCTGCAAAGCCACCATCAGTGGCAATTGCACCTAAATAAACCCCAATGTTAACACTAATAAAACTGATCTAACTCATTTAAAAGAAGCTATAGATTGTTTTTGTCTGATCTGTTCTGGTCCACTGGCAGAGATATGGA